AGTGTTCTGAACTTGATGCTGGGGCCTCCCCCAAGGAGGAGATGAGGGTGGGGGGCAGGGGGACCCGAGTCCTCTCTGGGCGCCCCCTTGGATGCAGGACTGTACGAGCTGACCCATGGCATTCAAGGACCCTACATGAGTGATTGGAGAGGGCAGAAGGGGCCCAGCCCAGGGAGGCCCCAGGCAGAGGTCCCACGGTGGGGCTGGCATTTCGGAGTCCCTGCCCACCGGCTGGCTCCTGCCATAGCTCTTCACAGTTCTTGTTGTCGTTCAGTCGTTAAGTCGTGTCCAACTCCTTGCGACCCCATGGACTGTAGCGCACCAGGCTTCCCTGTCCTCCACTGTCTCCCAGTTTGCTCAAATTCATATCCATCCAGTTGGTGATGCCACCTAACCATCTCATCCTCTGTCGTCCCCTTCTCCTCCTCCCCGCAATCTTTCCCAGCACCAGGGTCTTTTCCAATGGCTCCTTGCCTCACATGTCCGAAGTACTGGAGCTTCAGCTTCAGCGTCAGTCCTTCCAATGAATATTCAGGATTGATGTACTGATTACACTTCAGGGCAGCGCTGCGATACCACCCCCGCCCGGTGCTGGCGCAAGATTTCCAGAGAAGTTTCATATCCACGTTTTCAGAGCCATGGGAGGGAGGGGGCAGGACAGGCCTCGCTGCCAAGGGCCCTACCAGGCTGGGAGATCAGGTACCTTGTGCCCAAGGGAGGAGCTAGAACCCGCCCCCGCCCTCTGCCCTGTCCTGGCTCCTGACTCCCTGCCCCAGGCTGAACGGGGGCTGGGCTCCAGCAGGAGTGAGTCACAGGGAGCTGGCAGGATAAGACCAGTACGTGTGGCTCCCTGGTGCCAGGCATGGGCAACAAGGCCGCGTGCCCGCCCTTCCGCCATCTGAGGGAAGACCTGTGCCACAGAAGCCAAGAAGAGCTGGGGGCAGGCGGGGAGGGAGCAGGCACAGGCGGTTCAGGCCTCTGGAGCCAGACCTGTCACTTGGGAGGCTGCTGCTCTCAACAGCAGCTTCTTCAGTGACGAGTCTGCGACAGGTGCACTCACGGGACAAACGTGGGCACCCTTATTACGTGCCCCAGTGTGTTCAGGGCTGGCGCCATGGCGCCAGGCAAGTCCATGTCCTCATGTAGCTGAGGGCAGGGCGGGGGGTGGGATGTGCTCTGAGAGTGGGGCTGGAGCCCGGCTGGCCTGAGGGGGTGCTCAGCGAAGGCCCCCTGTAGACAGGGGCCGGTGGAGCTGAGCAGGAAGGTGAGAAAGAGAGTCCGGGGGTGCCAGGGTGGTGCCTTCTGGCTCGGAACAGGAGCCCCCTCTCCTTGGGCCTGCTCAGGAGGGAGGGGAGAGCTCAGCGGCCCCCTCCAGCTTCCTCCCAGGTCCCTGAGGGGGAGACCTCCTCCAGGGAGCCCTCCTGCCTGCCGGCCTGCAGGTCCCTCCCCTCCACTGGTTTCCCCAGCACCCCAGCCTGCGCAGGACGGCTGACCTTGAGAACCTGGGTTATGGGACCCTGAGCTGCTCTTGGCAGGCCCCAGCCCAGACACATACCCCAGTGGGCAGGAAGGGGTGGCTGGACCCTGGCGGGCCTGTGAGCCGCGCCTCTGCCATCTGTGACCAGGACAGGCCTCCTCAGGGGCCCTCTGTCCCGTCTGGGTGTGCAGGCCCGGCAGGGCCCTTTGACTCAGACTGCCTGCTTCACAGGCTGGCTCCATCTCTTCCTGCTCAGCCCTCAGTGCCTGAAACTGCCCCCCTTAGGAATGGGGGGGGGGGTCCTGGAGCACCCCGGGTGGTCATGATGATGGCCCCAGAAGCAGAGGAGGTGGTGTCCACTGCCAGGCTGGGGCCAACAGGGTCCACACCTCCTGAGGGTGCCTGCCAGGTCTTCAGGTTTATTTCCAAGAGGAGAAGACGGGGATCCAAGATGCGGCCCGACGCCGGCGGCCAAGCTGCCCAGGGTGGCCGCGTGAGCAGGGGCAGGTCAGTCCACGCCCACCCGAAAACCAGGCCCCTCCCGCCGCACCTTCAGGACCGCCCGGGGAGCATTGTCTGCGCCCCTGGAGGGCGCCGCCTGTCCCAATGACCAGCCAGGGAGGCGCTACTGAGCTCCACGCCCCCGGGTCACCCTGGCCCGGAGTCCCTACGGTCGGCTGCCAGGGGAAGCCGCCTCCTCCCCGGTCAGAGCTAAACCCCAGAGCTCAGCCGGCCCCCTGGCGCCTCGACCCCAGCCCAGCGGCGTCCTCGATCGCCCGCCCCCTCCCCTGTTCTCCGCCCCCTCCGCTTTACCCGCACCCCGCCCGCCCCCTTCGCCTTCCTCCTCCTCCGCGCAGGCCCCTCCTCGGCTCCTCTGCTCGGAACCCCGCGCCCTCGTCCGCCTCCCTCCTCCTCTCCCTCCTTCTCTCCCCGCCGCCGGGTCCCCCACNCCGGGGGGAGGGGGGGCGGCGGGGACAAGACCCCCGAGGGCGACGGGCGCGGGGTCGTGAAGGCCCGGGGAGGTCTGCGGCCTGGGGGCCTGGGAGGTGTCGCCCGGACGGGGCCGCCTCTCTGGGACCCGCCTGCCGGCGTCTGAAGGGCACCATTCGGATCGATTGTGATGTTGGTGACGGAGGGACCCCGAGGGGGTGCCGGCGGCCCGCGCTCGATGTCAGTTTAACCCGATACAGACCGGGGTCCGGAGTTCCTGTGCCCACAGTGAAGCAAGGGCTGGTGACCTTCAGTCTGGGATGTGCTCCCTGGGGGGAGGGAGAGGGGGGAGGGGGTGCTCATTTCGCTGCTACAGGCTGGACAAACGACCTGCGGAGGCCCTCTGATTTGGGGAAGCCGTGGTTTAACTAAACAGGCGCTGTCCGTCCCCAAGGAGAAGGGGCCAGTGGGTCCCCTGCCGAGCTGCCCCGCCACAGGAGGATGGGCAGCGGCTTATGGAGGAGATGTCAGTTGACCCTGGGCAGGAGGGGGGTTACCTGAGGGGCCTGCTGGGACAGTGAGAGCTGGGAGGCCTCCCTGGCAGAGGCAGCCGGGGCGGGGTGCAGGGGGGGTTGGCAGCTGGCAAGCGTGGATGTTTCCAGTGGCTGGAGAGCGTGGGTATATTTCTATCTCATTAACTCATCTTCAGCAAGTTTTTATGAAGGGCCTGTCGTGGCGGGCAGGGCAGCGCACTCGCCCGGGCTCAGCACGCCATCGCAGTGGGGCAGTTTCCATCAGAGGGAGAGACGGGGCGTTCTGGGGGGGACACAAGGCCATGGACGTGAGAGAAGGGGGTGGGGCAGGGGGTCCCTGGACTCCTCACCTGCAGGGCGGCACCGAACCAGAGCCCTGCAGAGGCCTGTGCACCCCCCGGCGAGACGGTCCAGGCAGCAGGACCACAGGGGCCATGGCCAGAGGCTGGCCCGCAGACCCGCGCAGGGCAGGGGAGACGCAGGAGGTGGGGAGGGGACGGGGCTCTTTGGGTGGCAGGGGCTGAAATGGGGACCCCAGAGGGCTTTATCCATCTTCACCTGGTGAAAGGCACCCTGTGGGCCTGGTGGGGAGCAGACAGAGGCGGGACAGGGAACCGCAGGCAGGAGGCTGCTGGCCTTGTCCGGCAGAGGGGCGCTGAGCAGGGCTGGGTCTGTCCACTTAGAGGGGAAGGGCCAGCGGAACGGGGGTCCAGGTTGGTGCTTACTGGAGTTGCAGGATGAGCGGGGGTTTAGTTTTTAACTGAGGGGATGCAGGGTAGGTCTGGATTCTCTAGTGGACATGGTGAGTTTGGGATGCCCTTTAGATGCCTTGGGGGCAGTTGGGCTGCTGCACTGGATCTGTGGGGGCTTTCTCATCCCTGGGGTGGTATGGCTCTGGTGGGGGCGGGTTGGGCAGACCCGGCCAGTTTGCTGGGGCCAGAAAGTCAAGGTGGTCTCGGACTCTTGCTTTGCAGCCTGAGGGTCACCGGAAGCATGGTCTACAGAGCGCTCCTCTGTGGCCAGTGGTCTGAGACTTCACCCTTCCTCCAGCTTTCTGTTGTCCCCTGGGGAGGAAGTGTCGTCCTAGAACATCAGCCTCAGCCTCCTGGCACCACGAAGCAGGTCTAGGTCTCCCCTGGCCTGGCCCTGAGGGCGTTTGAACTTCCCTGTGAATCTCTCTGCCTTGGGATGGAGCGCTGCCACTTCACGGGGCTCCTGGTCCAGCCGCGTGCTCTGTCCTATGTCACATTCCCACACAGCACGTTCCTGCTGGGCAGCTTCTCCTGGATTTTACGGATGAAGAGGCCGAGCCTCAGGAGTGGGAGAGACCGGCCCAGCTAGTGGCTGAACCGGCGTGTGAAGCATGGTGGGTCCGATTTCAGCCGCTGTGCCTGGGTGCCATGGCCTCCTTCAGGCTGCAGTGGCCACGTGGACACCGAATGCACCCCGCCCGTCTGGGGCGTCTGGGTGGGGGACTCGCGTTGCCAGGCTTTCAGCGTTGGCATCCTTGGCCAGCTGTCATTATGGTTTCCGGCCCCCAGATTCTGGGTTTTGTGCACTTTGGGTCAGCTTGCTTTTCTGAGCTCCTCACTTGCACAGCGGCCCGCCTCTTTCCTGAAATGGTGGTTGCTTCCCTCTCGCAAACCCTGAAGGCCCTCGTGTATGGGTTCACCCGGAGCTTTCCTGAGTGGTGTGCGAAAGATGGGTGCCCCCTCCCTGGAGAGGCTGGTGCTATCGGGGCCCTGCCCCCCCACCCCGTGCCACCCATCACCCTGAGGAGGCCCTGGGTCAGCTGCTGCCGCTTGGGGGGCTCCTCATAGCTGCTCCCCGAGAGGACCCAGGCCCGAGAGAGGTGACCCCGTGGCCGAGGGCAGACGGCAGCCAGTCCAGGGGACGTTTCAGAGTGGCAGCGCCCGGCCCCGCCGCAGTCCCAAGTGTGCCTGTGTGCGGGGTGGACGGTGGCCTGGCGGGGCAGGGAAGGGGGGAGGGCCGTGCAGAAGCCGAGTGGACTGAGACCGCCTCAGAAGAAGGACCGAGGGGGGCCCGGGGCTGGGGCCACCATGGGCAGCGGGCGCGGCCGCCTCGTCTGACCTGCGCAGCTTCTCCAGTGTCGCTCCTGTTTCCAGAAGGGGAAACACGGGAGTTGTGAGTGGGTTGCGATGGACGGTATGTAACGTACACAAGGGAGCCAGCGTTTAATCCAGGTCCAGGCTTCCTCCTCGGTGGGGGGCTCCGAGCAGAGGTAGGACCAAGAAGCGGGAGGCAGCGCCTTCTGGACCCCGCGAGGGCTGCTCTCTTAAGGAAGCTGCGAGGCTCCCCGGCAGCAGCCCAGTCGGAAGTGGGGCCGACTGAAAACAGGAAACGCGGACCAGCCTTCTCACGGTGGCTCAGGCTAGCTGAACCTGAAACAGGCTGAAACTGTACCCGAGTGTACCCCAGGGCCATGCAAAACACGCTCAGAGAGACTCTGGAAGCGTTCCTTTCGAGTTGGGGCTGGGACGCGCGCCCGCACGTGTGTGTGTGTGTGTGTGTGTGTGTGTGTGTGTGTTGGCAGCGTGGGGTGGAGGTGGGGCTATGCCCACCCTCCTCCGGCAGCTTCCCTCTCCCACCGAGGATGCCCCGGGTTGCTGGGAAGCTCCTTGGACAGGTTACCGTTGTATTTACAGTCCAACACCCCTGCACCATGCTCATGAAAACATAGGCAAGCCATGGATACTTAAAACTAATTTTTTTTTCCTGCTTATGAAGGTAATTCATGTTGGTTTAAGAAAACACAGAAAAGCACACAGGAAAAGAATCACCCGCAGTCTTAATCTTCAAGAGTTAAATAATATTTGGTGTTGGTCTCTATGTAAGTGTGCGTATTTCTGTTTACTCTCTTAAAACATGATTTTTTTTTCACATTAGCTTTATTGAGGTGTAATTTGCATACAATGAAACTCACGCGTTTTAAGGATGTAATTTGGTGAATTTGCCATTTTTTAACATCTAGCCTAAGGATAAAAGACTAGTATTTAAGAAACTGTGTTTTATACTTTAGGAGATATATTTCCTGTGTGTTTGTTAAGGTACTGATGGTGGTTTTTTTGCTTTCTGTCCCCAACCCAGTTTATTTATCCTCTCCACTGGTGTAGATATTTGCACAGCAGACGTTTCTAGAGAACCTAGTTGCTCTCCGCCTTTCGCGTGCTGTTCTGTGAGCATGTGGGTGGGTCCAGGGTAAGGTGGCCTTGGGCGTCCCTGGTGATTCAGATGGTAAAGAATCTGCCTGCAATGAAGAAGACCCCTGGGTCAGGAAGAGCCCCTGGAGGGCCCGGCCACCCGCTCCGGTACTGTTGCCTGGAGAGTCCCCATGGACAGAGGAGCCTGGCGGGCTACAGCCCACGGGGTCTCAGAGTCGGGCACGCCTGAGCGACCGGGCACACGAGCTGGCTTCACTTTCGGGATCCTATCTCGCCCTCCTGAGCGCAGCGCCCTGTGCATTCTCCTCCGAACTCACCATCCGTCCCAGTTTCTCCTGAGCCCTGGTTCCGAGTTTCTGGCACGGCCCACAGGAGACAGCCAGCCGGCTCCCGGGTCTGTGATCCCCGGCCGTGTCGGGGCTCCGCGCTCTCCGCTCCCGTGTGGTTCTCGTTAAGCCCCAGGCCGGCTCAGGTGCCTCCTGCAGCCCTGTCTCCGGGCTCGCCTTGTCCATCCTTGCTCACTCTATCCCCTTCCTCGAGCACCTTCTGATGGGTGACCCCAAGGTTAGCGGATGGAAGTTTAGAAAGCACCGTGAAGCCCGTCTAGTATAGCCCCAAAGCCCCTGGCTAGGCACTCTCCCCCCTGACCGCCGCCTCCTGGGATGCTTGCCCTTCTAGAAGATTCTTTCACGTGCCGGGCAGCTTGCCGACTAGCTCGCAAGCTGCCTGTGCCTGCCTCACTTTCAGGGCTCCTCGGCTCCAGCCTCCTTGACTCCTGAGGCCCCCGCTGAGCCAGACAGAAGTCCCCACACGACAACCCTGCTCTCCCCCCGGGCCCCCCCACCCCTGTGTTCAGATCTTACCTCTGCTCAAGGCCCAGCCCTGCTGGCACCTGGCCCTTCCCTCATCGTTCTTTGGATATGTTTGTTTGTCCAGCTGTTCGTCCCTCTATGCCAGCTGTTTCCTTCTGCTTTGTGTTACGGGTTTTCTCTTTTTTCTTTTTTAGGACTATCTGCCTTATCTCCGCTGTGCTCTCTCGGGGCAGAATCCAGCGTGGGAAGGACTCCCTTCCTTGTTTCTCCTCCCCGTTTTCCCGGAGGGCCTCACGTGTCTGTGTGCACAGCAGGTGCTGACCGAGCACCGTGTGAGTCGCTGGCTGTGGGAGGCAGGGTCCGGCCCGTCCCTGGCTGCGTGGAGAGTGGTGGCCAGCTGGGGACTGGGCCCCGGCCGTGGGGGGATGACTGGGCCACTGGTGGAGAGCGTGGGGGCGAAGTGGCTGCTTGCTGTCCAAGCGTCTTTACTTTTCTCTGGAAGAGTGAGTTTAAAACCATTGGGAGGGGCTGGGAAGCTGAACGGTTTGGGTAGAACCCACAAACCCTACAGAATCCCCTAAACCATTCACAGCACAAGTCTTACAGCCCTGTGCTTCAGTGTCTCCTGATACTTCTTACTTCCGCCCGCTGATGAGGTCAGAAGTACTGCAGATGATATCAGATTATGTTAAGCCAGCAACCTGCGGAGTTAGATAGGAATCTCAGGATATTTGAATAGGAAATAAATGGCTATCTTGTTTACCTATTTCAGGGAAAAAAAAAAAATCTCCTTCCAGATTTGCATATGACTCACTTATCGGAAGAGACATACAGGCTTTTGTGGTTTTGAAAAGCAGCTGTCAGAAAAACAGCCGTCCTGCCTACCCTCCATCTCTCTAGGCACCTGCCTCAGCTATGGTCAGATTAGGTGGCTTCAGAGCAGCCGAATGTGGTCATAAATAGCGTAATTACGCTGAGATAATTCCCAGGCTAACTTTTATTTGTTACTCCAAAGTAAGTCAGCAGATGTTTCCTTAAGAAGTCAGAGGGCAGAGCTTCCCAAGTGGCTCAGTGATAAAGAATCCGCCTGCCAGTGCAGGAGACTCAGGTTCGATCCCTGGTCCGGGAAGATTGGACAAGCGCAGAGCAATTGCGCATGCGCACCGCCGCTGAGCCCGTGCTCCGCAGCGGGAGAGGCCTCCGCAGTGAGGGACCCACACCCCGCAACTGGAGGAAAGCGCCTACGTCAGCAAGGACCCAGCACAGCCAGAGATCAGATCAGTGGATAAAAAATTAAAAAAAAAAAAAAAGCCAGATTGCAAATAACTTTAGGCTTTGTGGGTCCCAGCCACTCAGTTCTGCTGCGTTAGTGCAAAAGCTGCTGCAGGCAGCATGTGAGTGAATGCACGGGGCTTCGTGCCAATCAACCTTTATTTACAGAAGGGAGCAGCATGCGGGATTTGGCCTGCAGTTTGCCGACCCTGCTGTAAACCATTATTCATCACTGCGTGTTTTCCTGCTCCCTCGTTTGGTGCGTACACATTCAGAATGGCCAAGCCTTCGTTCTGGATCGACTCTTTCCGTTGTGTAGTGCCCGTCTCTGTCTGACTATTCTGTTTGTTCTAGAGTCCACTTTATGGGGTGACAGGGCCACGCCTGCTCCGCGTGTCTTTCCTGTCCTTTTACTTTCAACCTGCTTACACCCTTAGATTTGAAGTGAGTTTCTTTAGACTCCATAGGGTTGGCTCATGTTTTTTAATCATCTAAGCCAGTCTGTGTCTTTTAAATGTAAACATATTAGGCCTTAAATCTGCCATTTAATTTTTTGTTTTTTAGTTTTCATTTCTCTGCTTTTTCCTGCCTTCCTGCGAATTGCTTAAAAATCTGTTTATAGGCTTCCATATTGATTTGTCTGTACGTCTTCACCTGTTTTTAAACCAGCTGTTTGTGGTGGTAAAAGGTCCTTGCTGTTTTTGAGTGCAGCTCTGTGTGTGGCCCGCGGTGTTGGTTTGTGTGTACGAGTCTCATCCCAGTATAGCGGGATTTTGTCATTTTACCGGTTTGAGGAAGTGCAGAAACCTCCCCTCTCTCGGCATCACTTTACTCTCCCGTTTTATAGTAAAATCGTCTTAATTATTTCCTCCACATGCATTTGGAACCAAGTTAGTGTTATAGCTGTATCTTCAACCCTCAAACATAATTTAGGAAAGTCAGGAAGAGAAGGAAATACTGTTGTGGTTTCACGTATCTTTACTTACTGTATTCTTTCTTCTGTTTTCATTTCTCTTTCAGGGAATCTTGTTTTATCATTTCTACTTCTTGTATCTGTTCTTTTAGGACAGGTCTGCTGGCAATAAGACTGTTAGTTTTTCTCCGAGAATGTCTTGATTTCTCCTTTAATCCCCGAAGGGTATTTTTGCTGGGTATAAGATTCTTTTCAGTCCTGGAAAAACATTGTGCTGCTTGCTTCTGCCTTCCATAATTTCTGAGGAGAAATCCACTGTCATTCAAAATTCTTTCCCCTGTAGGTAAGGTGGTGTTTCTCTTTGACTGTTAATTTTAATATTTTTTTCATTGTGCTTGATTTTTGGAATCCAGACTTTGATGTGTCTTGGACTGGATTTCTTTGAATTAGTGATATTTG